AGTGCCACAATGCCAGCCCTGTGAGAGTGCCAACTTTCAACAGCTGCTCGGGAATGTCACTTATGAACAGAATACAAATCATTGCCATATACATTATAAACCAAGCCCTGCCTCTCAACTGAGACTCATATTTAGCTATTTCTGCATTATGAAATGACTTAGGCATTAAATCTCAGTTTGGGCCAGGGCAGTGGCTTAGTAGCATTTTGTATTAAAATTATTTATGGAAAAATAAACAAAGGTGAAACACTGATAATTTCCATTGTGTGAGCAAATAACAAGATACCGATATCTGGAAGATAATCCTGGATTGAAATGTGTGTCATAATTGTGGAAGGGCTGTGTCTATGAGAACATAGGGAGTAGAGCATTGAGTCTTTAGCTGGTGACTGCTTCCAGCTTGTTACTTCAATGCAGTTAACACTTTCCATTAAAGCATCTAATGCAAAGTTATTCTTTTTTATGTTTTAAGAACCAAATACATGAATTCTTCAAGGATTCTGTGTTTGTCTTCAAATATAGTATATTTTATGGTATAAATTTGAATTTGAAATAGTTTTGAAGAAATAAAAGTAAAAAATAAACAAACTAAAAGCAGTCCTTTACAACTTCATAGTAAATATTTGATAGTAATAAAATATTTCTGGAGAAAGTAGCAATACTATAATCTCACTAGCTGTTATATCCCATCAATAGTGCATACATTTAAGAATAGAAGGCAACTCAAAATCTTTTCACTCTGCACCCTGTGCTTTGCAGGCCTCACACATCTGCACAGAGTTCTGCAACACTTACCTTTGACATTCTACAAGACCGCAACAATTCAGACGACATGTCCTGGACAGAATGTTTACCAGCAAGGGCTCCTCCACTAATGCACCTTTAAATTTCTTCCTGTTTACCTTTAAACCTTTGCCTTGATTCAGTCTCCTTGAATACACTCACCATTTGTTAAAGCATAGATATCTCCTTTGCACTGCTCTGCTGTTCCCAAATAAATCTCATTACTCCTTGGAGATTCTGATTGTTGTGTTATTGCATATTGGTGGAAGCTTTTCCAGATCTTCATTCATTCTCAAAAGTTTAACTACCGTGCTTGTTTATACAGCATTTGTGTTGGGTGCGAAACACCCAGCCCAGAAGATGTAAGTAAGGAGCTCACAAAGGAAAACAATATGTGCATAATAGATACTTTTTCTTAAGGGTATCATGACAATATTCCTAAAAACCACTGACATCTGTATCTATTTACTTCCAAAATTTTAAGACCTTATTTTTCTATATAAATGTTTTGATAGGTATTTTTATACTTTTGAGCTGTAAAACCAACTGATTTACATTCTGTCAGATTCATCAAAATTCTATTACTACTATCACAGCACTACGGGTGCATAATTACATTTGATCAGTACGTACTTTTGCTGCCCAAATGTCCTGATAAGCAGCTCCAGTAAAAGGGGAATATTAGGAATGGATCGAACATGAAAGTTATTAATATAAATGTTGCAAATATTTTGATGTAGAGGTGATTTTAAGACAAAATCCTTCAAAATGTTTATATATTAGTTGATATTGGTCTTCTCTGTAAATTCCTGGAAATATCATTTAGTGTAATTCCTAAGAGAAAGCTGCATCATAGATTTAGGCACCACATCATTTTTATTTTTGAAATTCATTTCTATTTGAGGGGCACACATTGAATCTCAACAGGGTAAGCCATAGCTTGGGATGCCTACATCTCATATTGGAGCACCAGTCTAGATCCTACTAATTTCTTTCAGGTCCACCTTCCTGCTAATGAATCCTGAGAAGCAGCAGAATATGATTCAAGAGGTTGGGCCTTTGTCACCCATTTGAGACACTCAGATTCAGTTGTGGATTCCAGAATTCAGCCTAGAATAGTCTCAGCTGTTGCAAGCATTTAGGACAGATGGGAGACTAAATTAGTTAAATTAGATTAAATTGATTTTTGAGACACACACATGCAGAAAGATAGAGATATTCACCCTAGCATCATCTTGAGGACACTTTACAAAATTCATGGAATTAACAGATACATTAATTTTTGGTTTTAAATGCAGTATTTTCAAAATATGCATTTTTGTACACTTTTTGAAGACCTCTCATATTGTGGATTTCAAACATTTTTATACTGAAATAAACATGTACTAAATTTATTTTCCACAAATTTTGAAGTACCCTCATTCTCATGATATCAAGGGTTGAGAAAGGCAATTTATCTGAAGCCTTAACTTCTCCTAAAAATGCACAACCTTGTCCAATTCTTAAAAAAAAAAAAAAAAAAAAAACTTCACCCTGTTCCTAATACAGAAGACAGATATTTCGCCAAAGTACCTGATCAACTTCCTTCAACTTCCCAAGGCTATAAAAAATAAAAAATAAAAAATACACGAGAATCTGAGCAGGTATCACAGCCTACAGGAACCTATGCAGTGTGCAGGTGTTTGCTGCTGCAGTCAGGACACATTGGGAATTCCATATCCTGTATTCTTGGAGAGCCTGGTATCCTCCCAGCTCTGTTTGTGATTCCATCTTCCTTCCAATGCACACTTTGAGGGGCAGCAATGATGGAGCAAGTTCTTGAGTCACTGTTATGTGTATGGGAGACTCAAGTTGAGTTCCAGGCTTGTAGCTTCAGCTTGGCCTGCTCTGGATATTCTCTGGATATTGCAGGCATTTGGGGAGTGATCCAGCTAAGTGGAAAATATTCTTTCTCTCTCTCTTTTTTCAAACAATAGAATCAACAAAATTTTTAAAATATAAACAAGGCTTTGAGTTCTGGCACTGAAAATTAAGGCAATTCTTTACTCAATGTGCCATTCTAGTGGTGCCTTATCCACAAGGACATTCTCTTCTTCCTTTGCCCAAATGTTGCCAATATTCACCTTGTTTTGCAGCATTGCTATGTCAATGTTGTTTTAATGAATTACTTCTCAGAAGGGTTGGACAAATTACATATACATGCTCAGTAGCAATGCATAGGAGAGTCTATGATCCTGAGGTATGCCAACAGTATTTTCAAATTATTTTGTTTACTTAAGGGTAAAAGATATGTTTTGCTGTAGTTTTATTCTGTATTTCTCTGTCCATAATATGGGTGCTTTTAGCTCATGTTTTCTTAATAGGCACAATCCCTATCAGCCACCTTGTGAGGAAAGAAACCTGTCTGACCAAAGGCATCTGTGTGAGACTCCAGGTGTTCAGTGACCATTAAAGAATAAATTAGTACAATGACCACCATAATTATATATTAGCTTTTCCCATGCCCATAAGGCTCCTTCATATCTCTCATGGTCAGTACTACAAGAAAAGGCACTCATGCTTCTATCTGCAGCACCAGGTTCTGCCTGTGAATGAGAATCACATTGTACACACCCAGGAGGATCATGTGGACTTGCACAAAGAAAGCACTGACATAAGGAGAGGAACTCAAAATTTGTTAGCAGAAATTCTAAGGTAAAATAGACAGGCAGCATGTATTGGGAAAATCATACACAGAAAATGAAGATTTGACCTGGACTCAAGGTGTAAAACAGCTACAGCATATTTTGGATGGCTGACATTTCTATTCCACTTTCAAAATTGTTCTTCTGGAAACAAAAGAGTCCTAGAGTTGTTTTCATGAGCTATTATTATGTCCCATCTCCTTTTTGTCTTCTGTAAAGAGGGGAATTTTGCCTTATCTTTCAAAGTAGGCACTGCAAGTTTCTCAGCATGTGCTATTACACCAAGATTTATTGACTGTACATCAGTGGATAGATTTTGATGACCTTATCCAAAGACATTTTCATGTGAGTAGTGAGAAGAGTGAGTGCCCAAGATGTGCAAACACTTGCAGGATCCTTTTCCCATGAACTTAGTTTCCTCTTCCTCACACTGTCCTCAGAAATCAATAGGATCCTCACTTCACAGGTGACAAAGTGGAGGAACTGAGGAGTTCCCCTGAAAAATGAGTAACAGGGGTTGTGACAACAGGGACATGGGGAATAGTCCCCTTATCTGATATACAGCTGTCAGAGGGTATCCTTAGGAGGCTGAATGCAGACAGAGGTGTGGTAGGAGGATTCCTATACCGAGACACCAAGGCCTCTTACAGGAAGTAGTCTTTCAATACACCAGCAAAAGGCCCAGGTGGAATTTCTTATTCAAAATCCTGATCCCTGAACAAAGAAGGGTTTTCCCTTATGAATGGTTTTAGCCTCTTTGCCTCCCTTATAAGGTTATCTGCATCCATTTGAATGGATATTCTAATGTTACATGGAACCCACCAGATTCATGCAATACTGCACATGCATGCCAGGTAGTTAACTGAAATTTTTGTTTTATACACGTACTGAGCTGTAAGCTGTCTGGCAAGGGTTAACATCATTGCTCTGTACTAAGGAGCAGAGATGGTTACATATAAGCAGATGAGGACTGCAGTTGAAGCCTTCATAGGTAAGCAGATAACAACTACATTTCAATCCCAGGACAGATGTCTCCCTTTTTCTTCTTCTGACCTTGAGAAGGCTTCTACCATGACTTTAATCCTCTCAGAAACAAGCTTAAGCAAAAGACAAAGGCCTCTGCTGCATTCCTCCTTTGAAACTCAGAACCCTTTTGGGTCAGACAGCATCATCCTTATCTGAGGACTTAGGTTTTTACAGAATTATGACATGTGTAGCTGCTTTGTTTTGTTTGTTTTTGACCAGAGTCTTTATGAAGCTAGAGACAGTTTCATAAACAAGGGCACAAGACAAGGAAAAGTCAGACAAGCCCCCGACACTATAATCACAGCACCTATTAGAGATTTGTATCCACTAAAAGTTTAAAAAAATCCTCCAAACAAGTCTTTAGAGTTTTAAACTTTCTAGGTCTCAATCAGATTATGAGTGACCTTTTTTATTTGATCAGTAATTTTTTATGATCTTGTCCTCATTATCTATTTGTATTCAACAATTGCTTAGATAAAATTTTAAAATATAATGAGGCAAAAAAGAAAGGATCAGCCCATTTATTGTATCATGTGGCAGATTCCTCAAGCTTTGGCCATGTGTAAATCAGTCAGCATCCGGGGTATCGGAGGCAAAGCTGTCGTCCTCTGGAGTTCCTCTGTAGTCACCGTCTCTGGTGATCTCTTCATGGCTGACTCACTTGTTTCACATGCGCAGTTTGTAGGCTGTTGCTTTATTTGAGTTGCATTTCAGTTTCAGACCCCAGCTTCTCTCTGCTGTGGTGGATCCAGGGAGCTATCTCATCCATCTTGACGGTAGTGGAGGTGGATGAAGCAATAGTCTCTTGTTTTAGGTGTTTGCTTTATGTGTTTGAAGGCCCTTTAACAATAGAGGCCTTTTTCCTCCCCTTTGTAACTTTGTTAAGTCTGGAGGAAACAGATCTAACAAGCAAATTAAATGCAACAGGATCTAAAACAAGAAGATGGAATCATTATTAGAATATCTAGGAAATGTGTTACCTAAACCATGAGAGGTTTTCTCACTGAGAGAGGCATGTAGGCCTGGCCAGGTTTATGTGAGGCTCAGACCTATCTGTTTATATGGGATACAGGAAGAAACATCATAAGGAAGATGCGAACCTCTTTAGGGAAGACACCTGTTGACTCTCATTACCTAGCCTGCCTGTGAGAAGAGCTGGCTTGAACAGGAGGTTAGTGTAGAACAGGCAGCATATCCAAGACGAAGATCACAGTCCTGTCTATACTGAACCTAGGCCTTCCCCTCTGCAGTGGTGGTTATCTTGGAAGCTGGGCAGAGTAAAGGGCTTTTTCAGCTTGGAGCCAGCATGGTCTCATTCTAATCTGAATCCCTTCAGCCCCAGGGAAGTTCCACTCAACCAACTCTTAACAGAATTTTTTAGAGGCTGGCTTTAGTCAGGATGCCTGTTTACCTGATTTCTTGGCTTTCCGTATGGAAACCTAATGATATTTGGGCTGGACTACCTCCTAGGGTCTCTCTAATGGCAGAACATAGTGTAAAACAGCTATTAGTTGTCTCACTACCTGTCTTTATATTTGCTCCACAAGCTAATAAAAACATTTGTTACTAAGTTTTTATACATAGACATGCAACCTACACACATGTATGTATAACATACATTATAAGACTGAAACAGGGGCCGGCGCTATGGCTCACTTGGTTAATCCTCTGCCTGCAGCACTGGCATCCCATATGGATGCCAGGTTCTATTACCAGTTGCTCCTCTTCTGGTCCAGCTCTCTGCTGTGGGAAGGCAGTGGAGGTTGGCTCAAGTGCTTGGGCACCTGCACCTGCATGGGAGACCAGGAGGAAGCACCTGGCTCCTGGCTTCGGATTGGCACAGCGCTGGCCATGGTGGCCATTTGGGGAGTGAACCAATGGAAGGAAGATCTTTCTCTCTGTCTCTCTCTCTCTTACTGTCTAACTCTACCTGTTGAATAAAAAAAGAAAAAGAAAAAGAATAAAAAAGACTGAAACAGAAAGCAATTTTAGTAACAGTTTTTTAACTGTTTTTAAATTTTTTTTTTAAAGATTTGTTTATTTGAGAGGTAGGGTTACAGACAGAGAGAGGGAGAGACAGAGAAAGTTCTTCCATCCTCTGGTTCACTCTCTAATTGGCCACAATGACTGGAGCTGGGCTGGCCAGGAGCCAGGAGATTCTTCTGGGTCTCCCATGTGGGTGCAGGGGCCCAAGCACTTGGGCCATCTTCTACTGCTTTCCCAGGCCATAGCAGAGAGCTGGATTGGAAGTAGAGCAGTCAGGGATCAAATCAGTGCCCATATGGGGTGCCGGCACCACAGGAGGAGGATCCAGATGCTATGCCACAGTGCCAGTCCCAGTTAACTGTTTTTAAAATTATCATTTATTGATTAGAATTATCTTTTGTTCCTAGTATCCTAAACTAACCATATCCTTTTAGTTGGCACCTGTAGTTTATTGTTAAACTTTAGTATTATCTGTTTATGGAGCTGTCCCAAAATACTGGATGTAACAGAAATCATGCAAAGATGTTCTTTGGGTCCTAGAAGAGGAAATATTTAAACACAGAATCAACAATATTTCAATTTTTATGAGCAGTCTTGTTTTCTTTTGGAGGCTTGAAACTTCTTAGTAAGAGAATGTAATTGAAACAAGGCACCTGTTTACTCTACATAGTATTTTAGAAGGCAATTGTAGGATTTTGTAAAACATTTATCTCTTTTAGGTCTTCAAGCCCTTTTATTAAGATAACCTTTATGACATAACAACACAACAAGAGCATTAGATTTTCTAACTGTGGACATTTGTTTCAGTACATTTTATATTAGCATGACTTAATATGTGGCTGGCAGTGTGGCACAATGAGTAAAGCTGCTTCTTACAGTGCCAGCATCCCATATCAGCACCAGTTTGATACCCAGCTGCTCCACTTCCAATCTAGCTCTCTGCTATGGCCTTGGAAAGCAGTACAAGGTGGCCCAAGTGCTTGGGCCCCTGGACCCTCATGGGAGACCTGGAAGAAGCTCCTGGCTCCTGGCTTTGGATTGGCCCAGCTCTGGCCATTGCAGCCAATTGGGGAGTGAACCAGTGGATGCAAGACCTCTCTCTCTCTCTGCCTCTCTGTCTCTGTCTGTGTAACTCTGACTTAATGTTTAGTACCATTTTACATCTTGACAGTACTTTCAATAGGATCTAAAAAGGCTGATTAGTTGGTATCCATACTAGATGAGAAATATATCCTTTGACAGTTCCAAGGGGCCAACTGGAACTATCAGATTCCAAAGAAAAACTTTTGAGTTTTTGAATGTTAATGATGTCAAAGCTTAAATATCAGATTGAACCAGGATCACTTATCATCATGAATACAGATCAGATTTAATCACTGCTATAATCTTTAATTTTATATCACAGAAAAATAGATGGATAGCTTTATATCCAAAAAATTCTATTTGTTTTATAAACTTTTATGACTTATATACACCCATTGCAACTTACTTAAACCTTTTTTCTCATTTTAGTCTAAAATAGCCATTAATTGTAAAAATTAGTCAAAGTAATTATTACAAGCCCTATTTTTTCTTTATTATTATTTTTAAAGTCTGTCTCTTAACCCATTTCACTAAGAAACTCATTTTTATCTTGGAGACTTTTTTTTCTGTCTGATTTCTTGATTTACATTGAAATAATCCTTTAAAAATCTCAAAATAAAGATAACATTTTAATATAAAAGAGCATTCTGAATTACAACCTTACATCTAAGCAGTCTTTTATTATTTTATTTGTAGGCAGTTTATGAAAACTTATTTGTCAACAAATTCAAAATTTTTCATAAAATATTAAGTTTTAAGGGTATTTAAGTTTATATTTAGACACATTTATCTCATTTATGTTCATTCTATTTACATTTTGCAATTACACATAGATGACCTACAATGCTGATACTATATTATACACTGTATTAAAATTAGAATTACATTTATATGGAATTTCATTTTTTATTAAATGCCTCTAACTGGAAATCAGTGTTATCAACCTGAAATCTATTAAATGGTCATTTTTCATTTAGGAAAGACAGGCAGTGTTGCTGCAAAACACCACTTTTTATGGCCATATATTTTAGATTTATATTATCCAGTTACAGCTGAACCAAATTAGCACAAGAGTCATTATCCTGTCATTTTTATGTGTGAGATTATTATAACTCTTTAAATTTTAGATTGAGTTTGAGCCTAGTTTTTCACCTAACAAGCACCTTAGGCCAACACCTAGTCAACAGTCAGATACCTGGGATCTTCTCTGAAACAAACATGTGGTCAGGCAGTTACAAGACAGGTCCCAAGGGTGGCTTTGAGCCAAGGGTGGGTGTGCCACATAGGCGAGAAGCCTATTGGAGATGCTAACTTACATTTAGGAGACTTCAGTATCACTGCCCTAGGCTGCAAGATAGGGGGCCATTCCCAGCAAAGAGGTGGTATTAACACACCACAAATTAAAAAGAAGAAAAAAAACCCTCTAGATTGACTTTCTCTCTTTTTTCCCCAAAAAAGTACAGCTAGAGAGGCAGAGAGTGGAGTGAGCCTTTTCACAAACAGCCACCTGAAGAAGGGAACACATCATAAAATGGAAACTGATGGATCCTAAGGGGGATTGTAATCATCTGCAAAGGGGCTGAAGGACTCTGCGATGACTGGGCAGAATGCAGATTACCTGGTCTCTGACAATGGACCACTGTTGCTCCTGATGTCCCTGCAGTTCCTGAGTTTTCCTCCTGGGATTGAGATTCACTTTCGTCAGATGAAGAACAGTTTTTACTATGATTTCACATCATGTGCCCATGTGACCATTATCCTCACACATGTACACAATACATTCACACAGATCAAGTATCTTGATTCTAAAGACACAGTGGAATTTATGCTGTTGCTGTACCATTTCCTTATCCAGAGTATAAACCTGCAGGGTTCTGAGTTGATGCCATCCCCTTACCCGTTTTCACTATCTTCCTAGTTGATCCTACCTTGAATATCTTTTCTCATAAAGTCCTGTTCTTTTCCTGATATTGCCCTATTTCTCAAGAGGGGCAACAACTGGATTTATAGAATGACACAATCATGTGTTATGGATGTCACCTGTCTTACAGAGAACTGCCTTCCTAAGGACAATGGCAAAAATCACCACCCCCAGCAACATTCAGCTGGTGTTAGGGATCAGCATGTGTTTAATAACCAACATCTTCTAGCAGTTAGTATAATTTCACTTGCTGTGTTTTTTCCTGATGTGAGTTCTTTCTCTCCGTGTGTCTTCAGATCATTTGTTTACATTTCTCTGTTAATCAGGCCTAAGCATTATTCAGAGTTAAACAGAATCCAACACTGATACCTGGAGCACTGGGTGTTCAGTCTATGAATCCACTTGGTTTCAACATTTCTCCTGCACCAGTTTCAGATCCTCTGCTTTCTGACAGCTGCCTCTCCTTCTCCAGCAGCTCCTGATGGTTCCTTGCCAGCTCTCTACAATGAAGTTAATGATGCTCTTCCAGTCTCCAAGATGCACAAATAAGTATCAAAAGCTTTATGATTGAAACAGCAAAGCAAGTTACAGAAATCAAAGCAAGAAAACTAAAAAAAGTCTGTTTTTAACTGAATTCACACCGGTTTTTGTAGAAACCCTTATAAAGTAATTGCAGGAGCCTAGTTTGAACAACACATGCTTCATATAATGTGCTGGTATCAGTGAATAGAGAAACAACTTACCCTTCCTTGACCATCTTTCTGTATAGTTTTATTTTTTTTATTTATTTGACAGGTAGAGTTACAGACAGAGAGAAAGGTCTTCCTTCTGTTGGTTCACCCCCCAAATGGCTGCTGATCCGAAGCCAGGAGCCAGGTGCTTCCTGTGTTCTCCCATGTGGGTGCAGGGCCCAAGCACTTGGGCCATCCTCCACTGCCCTCCTGGGACACAGTAGAGAGCTGGACTGGAAGAGGAACAACTGGGATTAGAACTCAATGCCCATATGGGATGCTGGCACTGCAGGCAGAGGATTAACCAAGTGAGCCATGGCACCAGCCCCTCTTTCTATATAATTTTCATAAAGAACAGTCACACTCGTCTCCACTAATTTGAATTCAGCTTCTTGTTTGGCTATCACAGAACTCAATATATTATATTTGTATTCTCGGTTTCTTTTTAGTTGTTGTAAAGAATAAAGCTATTATGTTTGTGTGTCAATTTGTAGCTAAACACTTGGTTAGGATAAGTAGAGGAGAAGGGTGAGGATCCTAGAGACAGAAAGCCATTCTGCTTCTCAGCAAAAACTCATGTTTTCCATAATGGGCTTTCTACCCTAAAAACAGCATACCTTCTTCCAGTTTCCATACACTGCAGTTCAGGTTCTCTGCTTATCTTCCTCCACTTCATTTATATCTCAAATTATAAGAGAAAGATGAAATGTTCAAGAAGTTATGGTTGTACAATATTGTGAATGTTTAAAATTGCTTTTTGTTAAAATGGTTGGTTAATTGTACTTTACGTATTTTCTACTAGAATACATATATTTTAAAAACTTGAAAGCGAAGTAATCTTTTTGGTTCTCTGATTTATGTCATCAAGAGCAGTAACTTTTGTGAGCTCCTCCCTCTTGATATTTAGCTGAGCTTTTTCTTCTAAACCTCCTTGCCTTCAGACTTCAAATTCACTCCCATGATATGTGAGTGACTAGTGTCAAACATTCACATTAATGACTTAATTCCCAGAAGAAAACTCCATGTATATATCACACAATTTTGACTTTCTACAATATAACATACTGTTATGCTTCAAATCTAAAGCATACAATGGGAATCCTATAGTAAGTATAGGTAGTTTACATCTCAATGTCCTGATGTGTTCATTGAAAGCATGCCATTCATGTCTCTGAACATTTTTTCCCAATATCTGCACACAGGAAAGAAACAAAACATGACTACAATTTCCATAGAGACACTCAGTAATAAGCTGAAAAGATAAAAGGTCAATGAAACATATCCCTTGATACCTTTCTATCTGAGGGGAAATAAGTTGATACAGGTTAGGAATAGGAGAAATGTCAAGCATGTAAGAAATGAGGATCAACAATAAAAGAAACCACCTTGAGGCATGATCATTCAGTGTGTCTTCAATATTCCCACTTAGGATGTAAAGGGATAGATGGCTAAATGATGGGCAAAGTAACAAAGGCAGAAAATGGTCCAAGTCAAATGATTCAAGTGAACTTTCCCTAAAGGCATGAAAAACAAAGAAAATAAACTTAACATCTCAGTTCACATTGAGAAGTTCCTATTCTGTATTAGGAGAGGTTGGGACTGCTCTACTTGGCTTGATATCCTCTTCCTTACACACATATTTTCAGTTTATGTATGCAGGCTGGCATGCAGTGCTGAATGTTAAGATAATATATCATACTTCCTGGTTCAATGAATTTATAAATTCATTGTAGAATTAGTACAGCACTTGAGCAGCTTCAGCAAGAAAGTTCAAACTCCCACAATTTTACTGCCATGAGAGACTGTTCACCTCACTCCACCCAAGACATAAAAAGTGTCAAGAGCCAAATTATGACAAAATGTAACCTCCAATCACTTACCACATCCTGATGCTCTGCATGCTGATCTCTTTTATACTCATCTGACCATGAGTAATTTCAATGAGGTTATTTCCTATATCATCAGCATCTTCAAGCTTTTTTTCATCATCCTTTAAGAAAGCACATTGAATCACTGAGTCATTCTTTGGTTTTTACATCAGCTTCTAGGATTTATTGCATTTAAAAAAAAAAGATTTATTCATTTACTTGAAAGGCAGAGTTACAGAGAGGCAGAGGCAGAGAGAGAGAAAGGTGTACCAACCACTGGCTCACTCCTCAAATGGCTGCAATGGCCTGAGCTGTGCTGATCCAAAGCCAGGAGCCAGGATCCTCCTCTGGGTCTCCCATATGGGTGCAGGGGTCCTAGGATCTGGGCCATCTACTACTTTCTCTGGCCATAGCAGAGAGCTGGACCAGAAGAGGAGCAGCCGGGACATGAGCCAGCACCCACATGGAATGCCTGCACCACAGGCAATGCCCCTACCCACCATGCAACAGCACAGGCTCCTAATGTGTTAATAAAGGAATCTTGGTTTAAATTTCAGCTTTCCATCAAAGAGACTCCTTTTGTGTCTGAATTTTGATATTGTTTCTTTGATTCACTAATATTTATGTGTATGGAATAAAGGAACATAATTAAAAATATTAATTCAAATGTTGACCAAAATCTATCTTAAATTGTTTGACTCAAATATCAAATAAAAAGAACCTTATTTTATATTCAAGATTTTTCTTTGATAGATTATATAAAAAGAAACTTGATTGCAAGAAGCAATAGCAAAATAATCAAATTATGAGGTATAAATGATTCAGAGAGCAACAAAATAACATAAAAATCAAAAGGAGAATGATACTTTTTTCCAAAGACATTTTTACAGCTTCAGTATACTACATCATGACATTATTGATATTTTCAAAATTTTTCTGTAAGTTAACTAGAAGGAGATAAAAGCAATCTCTGATATTGAGGAACATTCAACAAAATCACATTATGCCAATATATTAGAAGCAACTGTACATTATCTGGCACTATGCACGTAAATGTGTTTATGAAAAAGATTCTTTATTGCATAATATTTTAAATCTAATAAAAAAGTATCCTATTTCAATGAAATTCCTGTTAAACTTCTACATTCTTGTGAAACTATCTTTGCCTAACTTCCCTGCTAGCAGTAGGAACTATTTCACATGGAAAATTCTATAATCTCAAATAATTTTATCTTCAACAGAAATGAAACACATAAAAATATCAAGCATCTAGTGTTATTGTTCTTTCTTCTATTACCAACACTAATAAATACATCTCTTCCAAAAACATCCTCATTCAATTAGGTTTGTCCAAATCCCAGCCACTCTTTGGAATTCCATAAAAGAAATATTAAAATTTTCAGTTGCTTGGCTACTCCAAAAACTTGTGATGACTCCCTTCTTCAGAGGAACTACATTTCACAAGAAGCAGAGAAGAGGCTCTGGAGACACACTTTTGAGATCAAGCATGATTGAGTGCATTCCCTGACTTGCCTCTTAGCATCTAGCAGATCTGGTTTAACTCACAATTCATCTATGATGGGCCTTCTCATCCTTAACATGATTCCTTAATATGAGAATGCTATCACCTACCATAAACATGAACAATATGCTTAAAGCCTGCATCTTTCAGATGGGTCACACTTACCAACACCTCAGGCAGTCCAGTCAATTTCTTTGACACTCAATTCTCTCCTCTGACTCCAGAATGTATCCTGGTCTTCTATTTGTTCTCCCATTGCATGAACCTGCGTGGTGGGAAATAGCAACTTGACCTCTCTCCCCTCTTCCTCATCCCAATGAAAAAGCAAAACAACACTGAAAAGCACAGGTGAAGGTTACAACCCAAGGACACAAGCTCAGCAAGTAGCTGAGATCTAAACATAGGACTAAGGGTCACTTCAACCTCCCCACACCTTACTACTACCACAGAGCTGCTCCATGTTAAATGTGGCATTCAGCTGAGGCCTTTGTCTAAGGCACTGATGGGCTAAAGGATATCAAAGACATGCACTAATAATGAGGAGACAAAGCAAGGTCACTAGAGGAAACTTTATCCTCTGCTGCTTACTATTACTGTAAACTGTAAACACAGCCTGACTTCCAGTCAGTTAAAACTAAAAGCTCACATAAATGGCTTATTTATCAAATTTGCATTTCCCAGCACATTTAAAGATTAATCACTTTCAGAAAAAATGTCCAACCACAATATGACAACTTATAAAGAGTTCATGAATTTCATATATACTGCTTTATGAAAACAATTTTAAATACACAGCAGGTTTTGTATCTGGTGAACAAATTTCACATATCTCATACATACAGTTTTATGAGTATAATGATACTTCCCTCCTATCTCTGTCTTTCACTCCCACCTCTCTCCTCCTTTATTTTCTTATTTAGCTTTTAATCGTTATAATAACATGCCTTCAAATTACTTTATAATCACAAGGGTAAACCTTCACTAAATGAAGAATTCAACAAGTATTAAGTAGAAAAACTACTGTTCCTCAACAGAATAGAGAAGAGTGATAAACACTCTTCAGAGGCCAGAGCTATGGCACAGTGAGTTAAGCCATAGCCTAAAGTGCCAGTATCCCATATGGGCACAGTTCCTAACAAGGATGCTCCACTAATGCTCCTGGGAAAGCAGAAGAAGATGTCTCAAGTTCCTGCACCCAGCCTCCCATGTGAGTGACATGGAGGAAACTCCAGTCTCCTGACTTTGGCCTGATCCAACCCTGACCATTGTGGCCATTTGGGAGCAAACCAGCAGCACTTTCTGAAATGGATAAATCGATTAAATTAGCACATTCATCACCTCACACACTTGTCTATGATGAGAACATTTATGTCCTCACAGCAATTTTCAAGTATGCAACATTCTAAATCATAAATTTTCTTTTTTAAAATATTTAGTTTATTCAGTGGGGCTGGCTCAGTAGTGTAGCAGGTAAAGCCACCACCTGAAATACCAGCATCCCATTTGGGCACCAGTTCAAGTCCCGGCTGCTTCACTTCCAATACAGCTCTCTGCTACGATCTGGAAAAATCATAGAGGATGGCCCAAGTGGATGGAATTTTCTCTAGAATAGATCACATGCTAGGTCATAAAGCAAGTCTCAGCAGATTAAAAAAAAAATCATACCTTGCATTTTCTCAGACCACAATAGAAGGAAGCTGGAAATCAACAACTGAAGAATAACTAGAACATATGCAAACACATTAAGACTGAACTACATAACAGTGGGTCATAGGGGAAATCAAAGGAGAACTCAAGAAAACTTCCGGAAACCAATGAAATCAATATTACATCCTATCACAACTTATGGGAAAGAGCAAAGACAGTGTTAAGAGGGAAGTGATTAGCAATGGCTGCCTACATCAAGAAATTTGAAAAGCACCAAATAAATGAGTTACTGATGCATCTCAGTTACCTTGAAAAACAACAAATCAAACACCAAATTCATAGGAGAAAAGATATAAAATAAATCAAATAAATACAAAATTGAAACAAAAAAACAAAAGTTCACAAAATGAAGAGATGCTTTTTCGAAAAAAAAAAAAATAAACAAAGTTGAAATGCTACTGGCCCAACTAACCAAAAAAAAAAGAAGCCCAAACTAATAAAACCAGAAATGAAAATGGAAATGTAACAACATATACCACAGAAATAAAAAGAATCATCAAGAATTACTACAAAGAGCTGTTTGGCAAAAAAAAAGGGGGGGTGGGGAATTGTTGAAGAATAGATTCTGGGACAGATACAACCTACCCAAATTGAGTCATGAAAACATAGAAAACCTAAACAGATTAATAACCAAGAAGGAAATTCAGTGATTAAGACCCTCCCAACAAAGAAAAGCTCAGGTCAGATGGATTTACTGCTAAGTCAACCAAACATTTAAAGATCTAAATCCACTTAATCTATTCAAAATAACAGAATTGGAGGGGATCTTCCCAAACTCCATCTATGAAGCTAGCATCACCTTAATTCCAAAACAAGAAAAAAAGACACAGAATAAGAGAACTATAGACCAATTTCCTTAATGAACATTGATGCAAAAATCAATGAAATTATAGCCAATAGAACCTAACAACACATCAGAAAGATCGCTCAACCAGACCAAGAGGGATTTATTCCTATTATGCAGGGGTGATTAATCACTCACAAGTCAATAAATGTGATATATCACATTAGCAAATTGAAGGACCAAAACCATATGGTTACCTCAATTTCTAAAGAGAAAGTATTTGATAAAATACAGCATCCTTTCATGATGAAAACCTTAAGCAAGTTGGGTAAATATGGAACATTCCTCAACACAATCAAAGTAATGTATTTTAAGCCTGTGGATAGCATTTTATTGAATGTGAAAATGTTGGAAGCATTTCCACTAAGATCCAGAACCAGAAAAAGATGCACAATCTCACCATTACTATCAATACAGTCCTGGAAGTTTTAGACAGAGCCATTAGGGAAGAAAAAGAAATCCAAGGGGTGCAAATTGGGAAGGAAGAAATCAAACTGTCCCTGTTTACAGATAAGATGATTCTGTATAGAGAGAATCCAAAAGACTTCACTAAGAGACTATTGGTACTCATGAAAGTGGTTTCATGTCAGAATATACAATTAATGCACACAAATCAATAGACTTTGTATACACAGAAAACACCATGGCTGAGAATGAAAATCTAATACCACTTCTTTTCAAAATAAGTAGAAAAAATACCTTGGAATACATATAACCAAGGATATAAAAATCTCTATGATGAAAATTATAAAACATTAAAGAAAGGAATAGAAGAAGATCCTTAAAAATGGAAAAAAAATCATCGTTGTTCATGGAATGGAAGAATCAGTATCATCAAAATGTCTATACTACCAAAAGCCATTCCTGTCAGATCTAGGACATTCTGCTCAGATCTAGAAAAAATGATGATGAAATTCACATGGAAACATAGGA